TTAGCATCAGAGTCCTGTTAGCAGTGTGGTTCTGTTAGCATCAGAGTTCCATTAGCAGTGTGGTACTGTTAGCAGCGTAGTCCTGTTAGCAGTGTGGTTCTGTTAGCATCAGAGTCCTGTTAGCAGTGTGATTCTGTTAGCATCATAGTCCTATTAGCAGTGTGATTCTGTTAGCATTATAGTCCTGTTAGCAGTGTGGTTCTGTTAGCATCAGAGTCCTCTTAGCAGTGTGGTTATGTTAGCATCAGAGTCCTGTTAGCAGTGTGGTTCTGTTAGCATCAGAGCCCTTTTAGCGGTGTGGTTCTGTTAGCATCAGAGTTCCATTAGCAGTGTGGTACTGTTAGCGGTGTGGTTAAGATAAGATAAGCTAGATAGATGGAAAGGGTTAGCCATATGTGCATGTGAAATGACCACATTAACTGTAAGTGTCAGAGAGTCTGAGTCAGAGATTCTTTATTGTCGTTCGCTGCGCAATTATGTACACAGGGTCCCAGTTACATCCAACAATAAAATGTAAAAGAAAAACAATAATAACATCTAAGACATGAACTAAGAAAAACATCAACTAAAAATACACTAAGCACTAACAGCATAAAAACATTACGTCAAACAGCAGCACGAACATGAGCATGAGTCTGTGGTCATGTAATGGCATGTCATATAAGTGGTCATGTAATTGTAAGTACATGTAATTCTAAGTACATTTCAATTTTCATAAAGTTACAAACATGTAAAAGTGGCTGCTCATCTTAATTATTTAAATATATATTTCACATTAAAGTGAAGTTGAGCAGATTTGACCTTTCTTAGTCATTGTGTGTTGTGTGTTGAATTTTAACACAAATCCTGTTTTCATTTTCATTACAGCAAGATTTTAGATGAACTCTCTTTTTTATTGCCAATAAATGTATTGCTGTTTCTTGATTATGTTATCAATCCCTCTGTTCTGAATTGCTGTTAATGTAACTCAGTGTGTTCAAATAAACTAAAGCAAAGTAATAACCTAAACCAAACAAAGTGGAGTTAGTGGATACCCTCTCCTGAGAGTAAACAAGTCCCCCTTCCCCCAGCACATCCCTGCAGAGTTGAAAGCATGTTCACCAGCTGTGAGCTGGACCTTGAGTTTGTAAGGACCCACTTCATTGTTCCTGGACTCGCAGTCTTCGAGTTCCACCCTCGTCCTCACCCCACCTCTGTGACTCAGCCCCGGCTTCACTTCCCTTCTTGCTGTGGAGAGGAAGGATCTGCCAGAAAGTGTGTGTGTGTTTGCGTGTATGAGCATGGCTATGATGGTGTGCATATGTCACCCGAGTCTTGGGTGGAGTCGGGCCTAGAGAGACCAAAGTTCATCTATTTTTTATTTTTTTTCCTATGGAGCCAGTGGTTTGCTTGATCAGTACACACACAGATAGGTTGGAGTAAAAGTGAAACCGGTTTAGGAGTGCTTTTAAAAGAAAGACGTCATTCCAAGATAATGGGAAAATGAGAAAAAAAATCTATATTTACTGAATTATAAGAGCCCTAAAGATTTTTGTGTTTCTTTTAATATAAAGCATCTTAATTGGCGCTTAATCATATTTTTCATAATCCATCCATTCATTGATAATAAAGGATTTCTGAACCACATATAATCTGTAAACAATGCAATAATTACACAAAACTAATGCGTCACTACATATAACTGTAATCAGTGAATACATTTTTGTATTTATGCTCAAATACACATTCAGCCTCTGACATCTTCAGTTCGGGAGTGGAAAGTGGAGATACCGCCAGATTTTAGAGATCACATCAACTTGAATTAGCTTTGCTCCTAAAGTTTCACAACAGGACGAAGTATTTGTTGTTCATCAGCCAAGAAGTTGAAAAAGCACCTAACAGCTAGTTTCCAGTAATCGTTCTTTACTCTCCCTGGGTTTCACCAAATCATTAGTTCTTTATTCATTCATTCATTTATGTATTTATTTTATCCGTATACTGTAATTTAGCCCAGTAATGTCACGTTCATCCATTTTTATATAGTTTTTTATACATATATCCTATTAAAACTTTGTAAAATAAATAAGCCTGAGCCATATTTTGTACTTGTGTTTGCTTTCTGTTATTCATGTTATCTTTCTTTTAAACGCATCAATCATCAATTAAAATATAAATTATTCTTGTATACTTATAATTTGTATTTTAACTAGAAGAACAAGAAGCAATGACTAATACTTCTTTGTTTCTGTTCATTTGTCATGTTATAGTTTTAATTGTGAATATTTACGTCTTCATCTTTCTGTTTCTTTCCTCAGTTGGTGAAGTTGTGTATTGGGATGATTGATGCTGGAAAAGCCTACAATGCAGCCAACAAGCAGTTTGTTAATGGGATCAGGGAGCTTGCCCAGCAGTCTGCCAAAGATGAGGTCATTGAGGTAAACAAGAAATAATTCAGCTTGACCTTGACCTTAGAAAGTCCCCAGCTTTGGTGTTGCATTTTATTTCCTATTTCACTTGTGAGGGGTCAGGGTTCCTTCAGAATTTTGTTACACACCTAAAAAGCCTGACTGAATGGTTTTACATTAAAAAGTTCTGTACTTCCTTATTTACTTTTCTATTAGATCAAAGTAAAAAACAAAAACAAGGGCTAGTAAAACACTGAATTGCTCTCAGCATCTCAAAGAGATCATATGTTTTGTTTTCTTAAGGCGAGTGTTTTAAATCTTATTTTGTTCTGAACTTCATCTTTGGGTTTGAAAATCAAACTCTTCATTGAGTTAAAGAAAGTAACTCAGCCAGAACAGCTCCTTCTCAATGCACTGATTTTTCCTCAGACGGACCAAATTTTTCCTTTAGTCATACCTGAGGAGCTTGTGGAGCATCAGAGAGGAGTTTGTGCGTCATCCCATTTGTGCTCTGTTTTGTGCTTTAGTGTTCTTCACCTTCACAAATAAAACTCATCCCTCTCTCCCTGCCTGTATTCATGGCTCTCGTCCTTTTCTCTCCACAGTCCAGTCTCACAAAGTTCGCTGAGAGCCTTCAGGAGATGATCAACTATCACACGGTATGCTGCCACTTCTCTGTGAAACCAGATGTATTTTCATTATGTCTCCCCTAAATCGCTGAGTGGTGACAAAATCCAGATGTGCTGACAGTATGGAGCAGCTTTTTAACTGCCATAGTTTTTAATTACTGCTGGGAAAGACTGCAACAAACCACTAAATCCAAAAGAGAAAGACTTTAAGGAGAAAAAAAAGTTAAAAATGTATCTTCTAGAAGCTTCGTCTCTGGTTAGACATGAGTAAAGTAATCTAAATCAGGGTGTTTCTTAAAAACGTCTGTCTAAGCAGCAAACATAGGTCATCATAAGAAAAAGATAAATAAATAAAAGCTATGAGGGCAAAACTGCATGTTGTGGAAGATAGTAATTTTATCTGTTTGAATAAATTATGCATCACTGGGCTACGTGTGGTAATGGTCAATATTTTATGTTGTGGTTATCATCTTTCAGAACTGGAGCAGTTTAAGTCTTTAGATTCGGTATTCTGTTCTTCCTGATTCCACTTCATGTATTTTAACTTGCTTCACTGTCAAACACAGAACATTAGCCAACAAATAATGGTAATCCTACTTCTTATGTTATCAGGCACATCGAGCTGGTTTTGATCATATAGTAGTCCATCACTACTTCGCGGCTCGTTTATCGTGGACTCTTTCTATCGCGGTTTTTCAAAATAAGATTGGACATAACACACAAGTGGCTGATTGATGGATGAGCCACACAATCGGCATGGCATTTTTATTTGAAATAAATTATTTTAAATTATTTAGCGCCACTTGCACCTTTGTGCAGCCCTTACTGCAGGATAAACTTCCTGCTGCAGCTGACCAGCTGTTCAGTTTGCAGAGTGGAGAAGTGGGCGTGGCTGAGAGCACTTGCAGGTGGCAAAGAGAGAGGAGGCAGGGAGCTGAAATTATTACATTTTATTCTCTTTTAGATCTTAAGAGTTTAGAAACATTGTTTAGAATATTGCAAGTGTGTGGGAAGAGTTTAAAACACTTATACACACACATATACACATATACACATATACACATATATATATATATATA